TTGCACATGATGAACCCCGAGAACGCGCACTGGAACAAGAGTAGTGCCGGGCTGACTGAGGCAATGATATAACGAAGTCCATTGAGAGGACTTGGAACGGCTCGCGTAGCTAGCAAGTTACCGGATGATGAGCCTGGGTTCTGGGGTAACCCCTTAGCCGTGACACAATCTACGCACTCTTTGACATATCGCTCCGTGTCCTTGAACATCCCAATCCCGTAGAATTCTTTGCGTAGTCTCTCATAAGTCCGGATGATACCCTGGTGAGCGCCTTGGAGGTCTGCGTGACAATGGTGCAGAATCTTGGAGGTCTTAGGGGACCACCAGACGGAGACGATCGGCAGCATCCCGGGGGCGTTCCGGAGTGTTTCGACTCACATAGAACAACGCGCCCCGGGAGTCCAGTACAAACTGGTCTGCTATCCTGGCCAGGTGCGTTGTCTGCCTCAGGGACAATTGCTTTGTTTCGTCCCGAAGGGAACTCACCAGGGGCGCTAGTCCGGGGTCGTGCGTTTGGTGGGAACAAATCCTCCTCCATCGTTCCCTACGAGCGTCCTCAGGATCTTCTTCGGAGTCTTGGGAGTCGGGGTTTCGGGGACCGGCTGTCAGCCCGTCTTCTGCGCCTTGGTTCCCAGCTCGTCGGCCCCGGTGTTGACAGGTTCTAAGTGGTCAGCTTCGGATTCTGGAGTCGATTCTTCGGCGGCATTGCTTTGCTCGGACACCGAGCGCGTCGTCACGAATGGTTCACCCTCCGGGGAACACCTAGGTATGCTCCGGGCTGTGGCTATGAAGGCACACTCTACCAGCGACTGTTCCCTGGGGCTCGGGTCCTTCATCAGTTTCTCGTGGATTCGGTTCAGGCCCTGGAGCAACTTCCATTCTCCGAGGTCCGTGACTTCTAATGATGACTGCTCTTGGATGACCCGTTTGGAAATGTAGTCGTCGGCGACGTTGAAGTCTCTCTTCACGTGTACCAGGTGCAAGGATTTGAACTTAGCTTGGAGTCCTTCGGCTTCCTGGAGCAGCCTCAGCAGGTGGGGTTGGGTACAACCGATAACCCCCTGGAGCTGCTGTATTACTAGCCGGGAGCTTCAACCACCACCGGTTCCTGGATCCCCGCGTTTAGAGCGAGTTGCATGCCTTTGACTAAACACGAATACTCGGCTTCGTTCACGGTAGCCTTCTCCAGAAAGTGTCCCGTGGCTGCCACAATCTCCCAACACGGGAGGTTCCAGAGAATGCATGCGGCGCCCCGGACCCATCTCTCTTGGCAGCTCCGTCGAAGCTCAGCAGATGCCCGATGTGGGCATTTCCAGGCTGACTGGGGGTGTCTTGATCCGGGAACCCTTGTCCGGAACTAGGGTCTCGGCGACTTCGTCGAGGCGTTCCCGGGGAGTGATGCCCGCTCCCAGGATCGTTGCCAGGCCGTCTTTATCGTTCTCGACTCGCCGGATATCCAGGTCCCAGGGAGACAGGTTGACCGCCCACTTGAGGCACCTCCCATCTACCGTCTTGGACTTGAACAGCCACGCCAGCACCGAGTACCGGGTATACACGTGAATCTTCTTCTCGGAACAGCTCGTAATCATAGTGTGGCATGTGTTCAGGACTCGGAGCAGCGCTAGTACCTCTTTCTCGGCTGGGTGGTACCTGAGTTCGGCATCTTGGAGAATTCGTCCCACGAACCGCACGGGTAGTATGGTGTCGTCGTAGTCCTGCCCCAGAACCGCGCTGATGGCCCAGGGGTTGGCGTGCAATATGATTACGTACTGCCTCCCGGGGTCGGGGTGCTGGAGTAGTGGTGTCGACACTAGTCGGTCCTTGAGTATCTTGAACGCATGCTTAGATTTCTCCAAATCTCGCCCGAAACGGAGTTGCTCGTCCGATGTTTCGTAGAGAGTGGCCGCGAGCACGGGTAGGTCCTCGATGAACTTAGCATAGTAGTTGAGGCTCCCGAGGAAGGACTGTACCCCTTTCTGGGTCTTCGGGAAAGGGAAGTTGAGGACCTTTTCCGCCAGTTTCGGGGATGTCCGGATTCCATCCGAGCTTATGTCGTGCCCGAGGTACTTGCACTTCTTGACTCCGAATTCACTCTCCGGGAGGCTCACTGAAATGTTCCAGTACCT